TCGGGGGGGGGGGGCGCCCCCAAAGAGATGCCTGGAAGAAACTCTGCGCTGATGTCCGAGCCACTGCAACAGGTTAACTCTAATTCAGCTACCATGTATACACTCAGTGGAAAAGGAAGTTTAGGCTAGTCGAAATCATTTTAATATTTCATGTTTTGGCTGAAGAGGAACGTAGATCGGCCTACACTTGAATACAACAATACTGAAACATTTGGTATTAGACACATGCAGTTTAGACTAGCTAAATAAGGGTCATTGGCCTAATAAAGTTTATCTTATGAAACTCCTTCAATCACACAATAGTAACGCGTCTTGCATTGCACTAAAGTTTACTTAACCCTATATCGCATACTGTTGCCATATGGCAACATACCATTGTGAACAGTTAAAACGTTTTTGCATTTATAGATTCAATTCATTATAATGTTTGCGTCCCTTTAGCATGATCTCCCTTACCTTACTACATGAATACGAACTCATTCAGTTGAACTTTTTTTAAAACGTTGACAACATAATACATTGCAGTAATTAAAAAGGGGGGGGGGGGGTCAGAATCAACTTCAGGGTTAGCGTTAAGATCAGGAACTAGGATAGAGTCTGGCTACTGAGTACACCCCGTCGTCGAACTATGTTCTAATTTCTTTATTAACTAAACAGCCAACGTATGTTTAACAAGTTTGACAAATACAAACTATTCGTTTAAAATTCAAAGATAAGCACGTGCCTTATATAAATTATTATGCCTATATACACTCACACACACACACACACACATATATATATATATATATATATATATATATATATATATATATATATATATATATATATACATATATATTTGGGAATATTCTATATTTGAAAAAAAAAAACAATAACATGAAACGATTTAAAAACAAAATGTGGAGATTGACCTCCCTTGAATAATCAGAAAAATTCTGGCTGGAAATGGGCACACGTGCCACGAGGTCGTCTGCGAAATGTGGTCGATTGGAACACTCGGACTTGATACGTGTCACTTGGGGAGAAATCTTCGACCCACACACCGCTCAGACTGGCCTGGTAATATTGGATGGAATCTTTACTTTAGGGCCGGCAGACGTGAATATCTAGGGGTCACCAAACACGACGCCTTACATTATACATGTGTGTGTGTTTGTATGCAATGTGTATGTATGTGTGTATGTATGTATGTATGTATGTATGTATGTATGTATGTATGTATGTATGTATGTATGTATGTATGTATGTATGTATGTATGTATGTATGTATGTATGTGTGTATGTGTGTACTTGTGTTTGTATGTAAAATTGTAATGTATGTATGTGTGTATGTATGTATGTATGTATGTATGTATGCATGTATGTGTGTATGTATGTATGTATGTATGTAGGTGTGTGTATGTATGTATGTGTGTGAGTATGTATGTATTTATGTATGTATGTATGTATGTATGTATGTATGTATGTATGTATGTATGTATGTATGTATGTATGTATGTATGTATGTATGTATGTATGTATTCATGCATGTATGTATGTGTATGTATGTTCCTTGATAATTTGAAAACATTGAAAGAACAAATGCAGATACCTAATTGAAATCTGTCATGCCGCTAACGATAACTAACCCAAGCAGCAAACCTAACCATAAACGTAATCCTCAGAGCAGAACCTTCGTTTCTAATTTCCCAAAGTTCCTCGTGACGTCTTCAGCTACAAACATAATTCTTTTGGTCTTGTCCCTGCGGCGTTTTATTATTTCCTTTGAACTATGTTTACATCTTGAGGTGACTGTTCTACCTGTTGTTGCTCAGGAAGTGAACATGATGATGGTTTTCAAAAATGTGCGGTGTAGTTTAAGGTAGAGTAGCAGTTTATGGAGTGGCGTTAAATCTAACTCAGAATACATTTTGGAAGTGTGCATAGAGAGACAGTAATGGTGCTTTCAACTTCAAGGTCTCTTTCTTGTGTTCACTTCCACAACTATCTCACTGTTAATCATTGTATTATAAAAAGTGGTGTATGGTTGTATATATATATATATATATATATATATATATATATATATATATATATATATATATATATATATATATATATATGTGTGTGTGTGTGTGTGTGTATGTGTGTGTGTGTGTGTATTTAAGTATATATAGTCCCTTTCCTCCTCTGTAAACGCTATTTTCTGATAGAATTCGTCTAGGCGTCGTTTTTTACTTAGTTCTACTTGCCCTAACCACCTTTCAGTTAACATTCATCAGATGTATGCTTTGTTGTCATGTAATTAGTATACATCTATTGTGCTATTTAGTTACACGCATGTATTGGTATGAAAATGTATTTACCGCGTACCATGTTATATGAATGCTTCCTTGTATTTCTACTTGTCGCATCTACGGACTAGTGAATAGTCGTCAAGTTAACGACCTTATTTCTGTTGTAGTCCAATTGTCGCCCCTCCGCCTTTCTTCTAGTCTACAAATCGATTACTGTACCTCGTATTTCTCTTCTAGTCAGAGTGATTCCCCTTTAACGAAATTGCGTAAGTTGTTTCGTTTCATCCTCGTTCTGGCACGTTGATTTGCTATAAAAAATGAAGTCCATCTTTTGTAAAGGTCTCTTAATTATTCATCATAGCACGACATTTCGGCCCTGTAACTTCGCTGTGGAAGAATTGAACCGAGTGTGTGCGTAGTGAAAGTAACCTTTAAGACGGGGGGGGGGGGGGGGGATGTAGCAGTAAAATCGTTACTTATATTGCTTGATGTACAGGCTAACTTACTAACTTCTGCGTGGATCTAGATGGGGAGCTTAGACCCCCCCCCACACACACACACATACACCACACACCTATTATACATTTTTTTTTTGCGGAAAATGTAAGTCTATACCATTCTATAAATCTTTGCATATTTTTAATTTTTACATTGTCGGTCAACATAAAATAATATGTTCCTAATGTTTCAATGTATTGGCGGATCCCTGGAATCTATCTATATCTATATATATAATTCTCTTCTGGGAGCCGTTAGAAAACAAGCTGCAAGCGCGCCTTACAGTCCCCTCTCTTCCTCTCTATCGCTACTACCCCCCCCCCCACCCCCTCACATGGTCTAGTGAGCTGTGGTTCACGCTGTTTACATTTTACAATCATAGAGACGGGTTTGGTGACGGCTATTAGGGGCAGATAATTTAGTTTGAAACAATTTTAAACTTAGAGGAGGTAACTAAGAGGAGGCTGTTTTCACGTGGGGGGAGGAGGGGGAGGGGGTTAGTGTTTTTAAGCAAATATTTTCAGTGGCAGCATTGGTACTGTCGAATTCACAAATTATAAATTACTGGAAAGTAGAAAAAAAAAACAACTAAATAGCGGCGTATGATACGCAGCGGGTCGGCTCGTATATATATATATATATATATATATATATATATATATATATATAATTCTCTTCTGGGAGCCGTTAGAAAACAAGCTGCAAGCGCGCGCCTTGCAGTCCCCTCTCTTCCTCTCTACCGCTACCCCCCCCCCCCCCCCCACTTCCACCCCCCCCCCCCCCCCCCCCCCGCCCTCACTTGGTCAGGTGAGTTGTAGTTCACGCTAAATGTTTAGTTTGGTGACGGATATTAGGGGCAGATAATTCAGTTTTAAACTATTTTAAACTTAGAGGAGGTAACTAAGAGGAGACTGCTTTTACGGGGGGGGGGGGGGGGGGGGATGGGGGTTTAGTGTTTTAAAGCAAATATTTTCAGTGGCAGCATTGGTACTGTCGAATTCACAAATTATGAATTACTGAAAAGTAGAAAAAACAACAACTAAATAGCGGCGTATGTTATGCCGCGGGCCGGCTCGTATATATAAATATAATTACCCCCCCCCCCCTCAACAAGCCAAAAAAGCCACCGAAAATGTAGGGCAGCTTATGATTAATGATATTTTCAAATACTGTTAGATTCTTGTGAACATGAATATTATTCATGAGTTGAATATTATTATCATGCAACCGATAAGGAAGAAAAAATTTAAAATATATTAATTTTTAAACATCATCGGCATTTACCAGATTCCGTACTATAGGCCCCCTAAGTAATTTTAAGTTTATTGATTGCAAACCTTTACTAAACAAAGACTAAACTCTATCCTAATTTTTACTTTCTCGTATATACGAAGTATAGAGAAAGTCTTGTAATCGTTTTACACCTCACTGATACGGAAAAACATAATTTTGCAATCTTGTCCGTATGTCTGTGTGTGTGTGTGTGTGTGTCTGTCTGTCTGTGTGTAAACACGATAACTTGAGTACCGTTACAGCTAGGTTGATGAAATTTCATATATAAGTATTTTATCAAAATCGTAGATCCTGATCAACTTTTGAGCGATTTCCGATAACCGGAAGTTGTACTTTTTCAACTTTGAATTTTTCAAAAGCCTATAACTTGAGCACTATTTTAGATAGATAAATGAAATTTCACATTCAAGTAAAAGATCTAATTCTCTACCTTCTTTCAAATTTTGAGTGATTTCCGTTGACCGGAAGTACTAATTTACGCTATTACCGATTTCTCAAAAAAACGCATATAAATGTATAAAGTAGGGCCTACTATTCTATTTTTAAAAGTTTAAGTAATTAAAAATCATGCCTATATTCCAAGTTATATAAGGATATTCGAGAAAGTTTAGGGGAGATCACTCCCGGTTTATTTTAATGGAAGCGAACGTGTCTGTTCAGATCTGCTCCACTGTATTTTATTTACAGACATGCATAGTTGTCCTTGTAGCCAGTAATGGAAAAGTACCGAATGAAATTATTCTTGGTTGAAGAAATACGTTTCCCGGATTTTTAAAAAAAAACCAACCACTTCCTTTTAGACCTATTGTGCGTTTGAAACGAAAACAGCAAATAGAATAACACAGGTCTGATGGTGTTTGTTATATAAAAAGTTACACAATATAAAACTTGAATTAATGATGTAAACAGTGTTGAAATAAACACAGAACCATTCAATGCGGTGTGATGAAACGTAGGCCTAATTCATAATCAGAGTGTTATTGCTAGTAGAAGTGTATAGAAAGGAAAAAAGGTTATTAAGATAGTTCATGTGTGAACAGGGGAAGTAAAGATGGTTTATTCCCCCTTCTAAGTCAATATTCGTTGTTTGCTGAACCGAGAAGTCTTGGCGGTTATTTGTTCTATTTTCATAGACCACACCATTTTTTTTTTCGTGTCTGCGAGCTTTAATTTAGGCTTAATAATAATTAAATCGGTGTCTAGTCTTCAGTGTTTATCTTCCGCTAGCGCATATTTCGTCTGAGGCGAGCCTACTCGTAAAAGTGCGTGTGTTGTTGTTTTTTTAATAATGGACTCTCTTTTACCACTATTGGAAGAAGAGCTGTTCCCCCCCATTTTTCAAATTTGAGACGACCCAGTTGACCTAACATCTTGTGAAACTTCTAGGCGGTGTGAATGATGACGTATAATTGACCTAGATAACGCGTACTTTCTTGTGTAAGACAACAATTTTTTAAATTTATAAATAAACTTAATACTTAATTAAGTAAAGCTAAACACATTACGTTATTAGTTCTTTTGAACCCCTCCCCCTTCCCCCTCCCGCTTTCTCTGTGTGCTTTAAGACTCCAGCAGTTCACCCGACTGAAATTTTCAAGTGGGCGGAAATCTGCGTTGTTTAGCCTAGTTTCTCGTCTGGTATTACTAACGGCGGGAAGCTTTGTCATAAAATTAAAATGGTGTACGTTTTTATTTGCCCAAGATCGAAAACGCTTGCGTTTAAATCTGTTAGATAAGCGACATTCCTTTTTTCGCGCCTTTAGTTGTTTTTTTTTAAATTAGAGCCTAAATGTGTATTTATAAACATTTTGTTGTTTTTCAAAACACGATTTTTTTTCTCATTTTCAATGTCTGGAGAGGGGAGAAATGTGCATTGTAATAATTTGATTGTTGGTTTACCACACCCTAACTTCTGTTTTTTTAATATTATTTTTAAGTTAGTTTTAAAATTTGGAAAATTTTATTATTTATAAAGATTTATTCAACTTTCCTTCGTCTACTTTTGTTTAAAAAAAAACCGAAGAAATTGTGCATAGATGGCTAACCCCACCCGAACATCGATTGGTTCTCTGTCGGGTAATGTTCCACGACCGGAAATGTGTACGCGGGATTTTTTTTCCTGGTTTCTTTTAAGGAGAGCGTCGGAGCACTGCTGCCTGATCGATAAGGTTTATCCCAAGGCACTCAAGATTCCAGTCCAAGTTGTTAGTTAATATATAGGAGGAACAAATGGTTTCAGAAGAGGCGGTCTTATTTCTGGAACTTGTCTGTCGCGTAGATAACTTGAATTATTTGTTGTTTTGTGAACTTACGGGTCTCTATGTACAAGTTTGGTATCTTTGTTCAAGTATCTTTGAAAAAAAAACACTGGTCTATTTTATTTCTTTTTTGTAAATGTAAAGATCGCTTTTGTCTCCTTGTAAATCTACAGGTTTTATTGTCTTTGTAAATAGCTATTTCAGCCCGGCGCCCGGGGAAAAACTTTCGATTTGCACCCCACCCCCCCCCCCCCTCAAACTTTCGATTTGCATCCCCCCTTCAACCTTTCAATTTATTATTCCAACCCATTTTGGCGCCCCCTAAGGTCGGCGCCCGAGGACATGTGTGTGCCCCCCCCTTCGCCCCCCCCCCCCGAAATTTTTTTACCGCCCCCCTTCCCCGAACGAAATGAAATTTATATAATTTATATAGAAAATATATACTTTTAACAGTGTCCGCCCCCCCCCCCCGAAGAAAGTTTACCGCCCCCCCGAAGATTTCAAGTGCCCCCCCCCCCCCCCGGAGAAAAAAGTCTGGAAGAAACACTGCCCTCGCTACGCCTCTGAGCTATTTGTACAAGTCTATTTATAATTGTGCAGGTCTTTTTGCGTAGATCTATGTCAATTTGTAAATGTACAGGTGGTTTGTTTATGTCTATTTGTAATGTACAGGTATTTTGTTTATGTCTAAATGTAATGTACAGTAATTTTTTTATGTCTATTTGTAATGTACTGGTGTTTTGTTTATGTCTATTTGTAAATGTACAGGTGTCTTGTTTATGTAACTTTGTAAATGTACTGGTCTGTTTGTGTGTCTTTGTAAATAGGCCTATCTCTAAACGTCTCTTTGTAATTGTTACAAGTATTGTACATAGCGCTTTGAAAAAGTACCTCTCTCTTTGTGTCTCGTTATAAGCGTACAACTTGCTTTCCAAATGTACGTCAACGCTACACCAACCCCCAAGAAGTAATGATACACGTTTTACCCATATGTTGTTATATCGGGCTATGTGTATCAGGTAACTAATTAGATGAAGTTATCTGTGGTTTTGTAATCCCAGATTTTGTTTTTAATAACACCGTGGATATACGGTTTGAATTAGTTAGATTTTTTTAGAGTAGGCAACTGGTATTACTACTAGTTGAGTAGTTTTGTATTCATGCCACTGTAGGCCTAAGACTTTAAAAAAAAGATCAGTACATTACTTAAGAAATATTGTTACTTTAGATCGTTGAAATTAAAACAGACATAGAGAAAGACCCATGTATATATCGAAAGATTAAAGTTAAAAACATACCTGTTTATTACAGAACGGTCTGCTTATATAATGCTGAATTAAATTCCTCTTTATTTAAAATTTGATTTTTTTTTTAAAAGTCATCTATATAAGTATTAGAAAGGCCTGTTTAAATATATAATTGACCGTTTATAAAAAACATAAACTAAAGTCAACCGTTTTACTGAAACGGACCGTAACTTTTGGATAACTTATACCCACGTGTGCCTGCACGTGTATCGGACTCAAATATTTGATACGCTTGTTGTTTGTCACCTTGGCTGTTATCGATTACTCATTCGTACATAATCAAAGAGCGGGAATCGCAAATAACAATAGCTAGACTGGTGAGGTTAGTTTGGGTATTGCGGTATCGTTATTAACAATATTAGCTGTACATACTGACGGTATGACAGGCGGGGTGTCCGTTTTTTTGTGTAGTGAGGACTCGTAACAGTGCCGATAGAAGGAAAGTGGGGGGGGGGGGGGGGGGGGTAAGAGGATTCGTCAACAAATGACATGACGCTATCGTAAAGGTGGATTCCGTTACGATAGAGGGAGGTCATGTGTGGACTAACAGACCCCCCCCCTCTCCATCCATGTATAATACAAATGACCCCCCCCCGTTTCACAGCTATACCAGTGGTTCAGTCATAACAGCACGTCAGCGGCGTACTACGGGGGAGACTTACGGGGCTGCAGTCGAGTAGGGGGCTATTTTTAGGCGCCCCATTAAAAAAAAGTTAAAACAACATTGAGTCATTGCACTACTATAGTAACAGTCGTCTCCCCCCCCCCCCCCCCATATGTTCATCATTCAAGTCCCACCCCACATGTTTACCAGCCTATTCCCCCCCCCCCCACATGTTTACCAGCCTATATCCCCCCCCCCCCCCCACAGATGTTTACCAGCCTATTCCCCCCACATATGTTTATCAGCCTGTTCCCCCCTCCCCACACGTTTACCAGCCTATTCCCCCCCCACATGTTTATAAGCCAAGTCTTCCCCCACCCACCCCCACATATGTTTATATAGCTCTAGTGTATCCGCCCCTGCGAACTCTATAATACAGGTCTTATTAAAGCGAACCCACGAATCAAAAGCTACGATGGCTGTTTTCCTCTCCTAATAATTTGACGTATGTTGCCTAGGTTGCGGTATTGATTTTTTTTTTTATCATAGCAGCTCTATATTCATGTTCAACCTCTTCCCGTCTCTACTTCTATAGCCCTCGATGCTGTTTTTTCTCTTGTAGTTTTTTTTTTTAATTACAAATGCATTAAGTAGTTGGTAATTTATTCTTAAAGGGTTTACTGTATCGATTTGGTCGGTATAGTTAAGTACTCGGCGATATTGTTTTATGTTAAGCCTTTAAGCCGTAGTATTTTCCTGTCAAGTTCAAAGCACTGGCAAAAACTGAAACCTACAAGACTGAAAGCCCAAAAGTATCCCAACAGATCTGATCCTCCGTACAGCAGGTGGAGTAGAGTTCGATCTAGGCATATGAAGGAAGAGATAGCGTGATCAACAGAAAGTCCGGTCGTATCTATTTTACTCACCGTCCACAACAGTTCTCATCTGAGCTAGGTGGACACAGGTCATGTGATCAAACTTGAGACTTGGACTGTCGGTGGGTGGAATTGTGTCCGTGGGTTTTAATGTGTCCGTGGGCTTTGTTGTGTCCGTGGGTTTTAATGTGTCCGTGGGCTTTGTTGTGTCCGTGGGCTTTGATGTGTCCGTGGGCTTTGTTGTGTCCGTGGGCTTTCATGTGTCCGTGGGTTTTGTTGTGTCCGTGGCCTTTGTTGTGATAGTGGGCTTTGTTGTGTCCGTGGGCTTTGATGTGTCCGTGGGCTTTGATGTGTCCGTGGGTTTTGTTGTGTCCGTGGGCTTTGATGTGTCCGTGGGCTTTGATGTGTCCGTGGGCTTTGATGTGTCCGTGGGCTTTGATGTGTCCGTGGGCTTTGATGTGTCCGTGGCCTTTGTTTTGACAGTGGGCTTTCATGTGTCCTTGGGCTGTGTCCCTGGGCTTTGATATGTCCTTGGGCTTTGATGTGTCCGTGGGCTTTGATGTGTCCGTGGGCTTTGATGTGTCCGTGGCCTTTGTTGTGTCCGTGGGCTTTGTTGTGTCCGTGGGCTTTGATGTGTCCGTGGGCTTTGATGTGTCCGTGGGCTTTGATGTGTCCGTGGGCTTTGATGTGTCCGTGGGCTTTGATGTGTCCGTGGGCTTTGATGTGTCCGTGGGCTTTGATGTGTTCGTGGGCTTTGATGTGTTCGTGGGCTTTGATGTGTCCGTGGGCTTTGTTGTGTCCGTGGGCTTTGTTGTGTCCGTGGGCTTTGAAGTGTCCGTGGGCTTTGATGTGTTCGTGGGCTTTGATGTGTTCGTGGGCTTTGTTGTGTCCGTGGGCTTTGATGTGTT